TTTCTTCTTTCCATTGTTACCAAAGTACAATTCATTCTAGTTTCTTTCCCATCACATTTGCCAGAGAATGATTCTTTTTCCCTTGGGCCACTGAACACCCTGTAAGCAGCACAACCTTCCAGGACCCATGTCTTCCTGGCTTATTTTAGGTCTCCTTTTCAACCATCCTTACCAGGTATCCTGTGCTCCATCCCACTGAGCTATTGGTGTTCATATAGTCAATAATCTTCACACATTCATGTCTACCCTCATGAATTTTTGCTTGATTTTATCTCTATATACGTGTCCTCCTCCTCTTCTTCAGCATCCATTCCCCCTCCTTTTCCAATCAGGCTTACTTTGCCACAGAACTTTTATTCATACTTCAAAACTCAAAGTTGTGTGAGTGTTTCTTTTTTTAAATGGGACCTCTGATGACAGCACCCTAGCAAAATGAGCTGAATCTTTACTTATGCACCCATAGAACACTGAAAAGATAAATGCTCTAGAATGTTATTTCATTGTATGTGACTTAAATTGCGTGTATCTGACTTGCTAACACATGAGCTCCATGAGTTCACAGATAACAGGCACAATGTTAAGAGGACTATATTCAAGGCACATGCAAAGCACTGTGAGAACATAGAGGAAGCAAAGCCAAACTTTTGAAATCATTGAAGAATCTCAACATTCCAAGAGTGGCAAAGAAAGTTAGGATGCAGTTTAGATAAGAAAGTCAAAAGATTAATAGATTAAGAAATGTAAGTAAATATAGACACTTTGCATTTTTTCATTGAAAAATATTTTATGACATGGGCTCAGCCCAGGGAAATGAGTAAGAGAATTTAAAAGATAAATAAGGTAAAACCCTATCTTTCTTTCAAGATTGTTATAATCTCATATTGTAGATATAGCTGCCCAACAAAAATCAATCAGTAAATAAGCAGCAATTCAGTACTGACCTCTTACAGATTTATTAAAGTTCTGTTGAGAGAGATAAAGGATCAAAGGAATAGACATGAGCCCTGTTATCTTAAACAATTTTACTGACAAGTCTGATGCCATTATTGAAGGTGGGATTTTATATCAGGAGTCAAAAAGATCGCTGCACATGGGGCATGATGACAGGCAAAAGTGAACAAGAGGAAACCCTCTCTATGTAAATGAAGAGAATGAACCACAGGAGCAGAGACTAACAGAGATGTGATTTAATATTTAGAGTGTGCTTTCTACATCTTCATTTAAGTCAGTTATAAAAGTACTGATTGGGACAGTATTCTTTCCTCCCGGTCATGTTAATTCATCCATCAGCACCTTCTTGTTTAGCTGTTCAACCAGTTACAGTCATTTACTCATCATCTTGATCCTTCCACAATTAGTGCATGACAGGCTTTATCTAATTCCTTGCTGATGTTTCAGTCCATTATGTCTGCTATGTACCTCAGACCTACCAGTCTAGTGAGCTTGTCAAAGAAGAAAACAAAGTGACTGACTTTTGTTTTGACACTGTAAGGATAATGGCATGTTTTCATAGTGTTCCTAAACATATACTAAATAATTTTTCTTGGATATTATTCAAATTAATGCTAAGTGGTAACACTTAAATTTAAAAATAAGTGATTTGAGGAGGCTTAATATAAAAACAGATACATAAAATTCATCCTTCAAAGTGAATTCAAAAAATAGAAAATAGAAAGAAAATTAGGAAGACAGAAATCTTTCAATGAAATTCAACTTTTCTTAATACTATATTAAACTTCATAGCATCAGTTAACTTTCAAAATTTTTATACAGCAAACTATACTTTTTGACTTAATTTGATTTTCATTGTGGCTAGAGTAATATAAAGAAATGTAGATAGTCTTGACCATAACAAACTGGGATGTGAAGGGAATGCCATGCTGGGGCAAAGACAATGAATGGAGCAGGTCATATGAATTGAATAGAGAGAGACTTGCCACTCAACAATCTGCAAATTGCAAAATCCAACTCCCAATTATGTGGTTGGCTGCCTGTGTGCTTTTGTATGTCAGTGAGTGTTAAGACCTTTTCCCTCTAATAATACAGAAAGCAGGGAAGGATAAATTTATAAGTGAGGTTACTTACATATAGTATGATTGAAATGTGTCTATAGGAAATCAAAGAAGTGAAAGGAATAGTAGAAAACTAGAGATGAGCAAATGTCTACATGTTTAAAACACAGAAGACAATAGGAAAACAATATGGAATTTTCTCAGAAAAATAAAAATCGACCTGCCTTTTGACCCAGCAATTCCACTGCTAGGATTATATCCTAAGAACCCTAAAACACCAATTTCAAAGAACCTATGCACCACAATGTTCATAGCAGCACAATTTACAATAGCCAAGAGCTGGAAGCAACCTAGGTGCCCATCAGTAAATGAATGGATCAAAAAATTGTGGTACATATACACAATGGAATTCTATGCAGCAGAGAGAAAAAAGGAGCTACTAACCCTTTGCAACAACATGGATGGAACTGGAAAGCATTATGCTGAGTGAAATAGGCCAGGTGTTGAAAGACAAATACCATATGATCTCACCTTTAACAGGAAGCTAAACAACAAAACAAACAAGCAAGCAGAATAAAAACAAAGACACTGAAATACAGAACAAGGGGACAGTGACCAGAGGGGAGAGGGAAGGGAATTTAAGGGGCAAAAGGGGGAGGGATTTGGAGGAACAAATAGGAAGGACACAGGGACGAGAACTAAGGGGGGTGGAAATGGGAGGGAGGTGGGGAGCATGGGGCGGGGGAGGCTGGGATGGGAGAAATAGGCAAAAAACTGTACTTGAAAAATAACTAAATAAAATTAAAACAAAAACAAAAAAAACACAGAAGACAATAGATTTTGGAAAATGTTGGCTACAATGGTAACTAATGATCTCTGGTGTAAAATAGAGCTAATTATGCTTCTTAATCATTATTTGTTTTTAAGTGAATGTGTAGTAATTGCTTATTACAAGACAAATTTGGAGGATAAAAGATGAATAAGGTATAGATTTTGTCCATAGGAAGCATCTAGACAAAGAGAATAAATGTCAGATGGGCATACTTTTACAAAGTAGAACAATTTCACAAGAAAATTAAAGATATGTGTCATAAAAACTAAGAAGATTAAGTATTATTAGTACCAAGGACAAGACTCCCAAACTGAAGTGTCTTCTCGGGCCAGCAACAAATGAGGCAAATGAGTGAACCACCCATTTAAATGAGGCTGTTACACTAAACTTCAGCTGACTTGGCTGGCCCTGGCAATGAAGGGCCCAAATATTTTTTTAATTTCATGTTCTATTTATTTTCCATTAAGCATTCAAAATGTAAAAGTTGTGGACTACTTTAAAATTTTTCAAAGCAATTCGTAGGCCAAATATAATATATCAACAAGCCAGAGTAGAGCTTTATATAATGAGTGTAGGACATCTGCCTTAATAGGGTTAAGAAATACTCTGTGAAGAGTATTGAAATTTGGACTTCTCATTGTATGATAGGTAAAGTTTAGACACATAGTGATTAAAGAAAATAACACCCAGAGTCTATGATGGACAATAGGAAATATAATAATACGAGCATTTAGGAAAGAAGGTCAGGATGGCCAGTAGTCTACATAGATTATTTAAAAGTAAATCATGCCAAGCATTTCATAAAGGTAAGAACTTGGTACCATACCATAGAAAATATGAACACTGATTGCAGCAGAACAACCTTGGAGATAAGTCAGTGAAATATACTTAAGCCTGTTTTGTTCAACACTTTTCAATGACATTGATGGTGATCAAGAAGACTTTTAGTACCTTTATAGTTGATACAAAGTTGGAAGGGATCACTAATGTGATGACATTTTGAAGTCTAAACAATTTCAAATGACTGCACATAAAGTGTCAACAGAATACTAAAAGTATTTCGGAGCCAAGAAAGTCAAAGACATAAATATCAAGTGCACGAAAATAACTCAGAAAGCCATCTTAGGAACACTAGGACTCAGAAAGTTTAACTAATACCCCTCAAATCATACAGTTGGTGGCAGAAGTGGAATGAATATTCCAGGTCCCTCTGGAATCAGTCTATATTCTTTCTTCTCCATCACAGAACCATGAAGTATATGTATTTCTTAAAGAAACTTCAGATTTTGTATTGAGTAGAAAATGAAGGTAAATGTCCTTTCAGGTCACAACTAATTTTTTTAAATCTATGTTATCTTTCTGATGAAAGATCAGTGAAGTTTGGACCTAATATATTGAGTGGAGTTAATTGAAATGTACATATATAAGCTAAGGTTTAAGTGTTAAAATGAGATTACCTTGTTTTAATTGTTCTTTTCTTTATTTTACAGTAGCAGCAGAATATACTTGCCTTGTTAATTAAAGATATTTCAATCTCTGTCATTCAACAAACATTTCCTGATGGCCTATTAATTGCTAAAAATGTTTGAAAGTACTGTAGATACCACGGAATTCCTCCTATTAAGGACTCACATTTTATTGAGTGGGGGTACCTCTGGTTCTCCCTCCTCAGTGGTTCTCATTCCTTCTTTCCTTCAAAGGTGGCATCTTGTTCCAGAAGGAAGCTTCAGGACATTTGCAGATGAGGGTTTCATCTACACTTGGGTGAGGTGTTTCTTACCAGTTGGTTCTTGGATATTGACTTCTATCCCCTCCATAATATGTTGCAATGTAACACAGCTCCTATGGTCCCTGTGTTCCCTGCCCGTGCCCCCACTTTCTCCACTCCTAAATCCCTTCTTATAAACTTCATTTGCTTTTCCTGATCTTCACTGCAATGTGAAGACCATTGTCAGGTGCAAATACTTAGGTACTTCCCTTGTCACTGCCGCTCTGCCTTCCTCATGCCAAGGCAGATGGTGCATCTCTATCCTCCTCTAAAAACCAGGGATTTTGAACTAAGCCAGGGCGTGGAAGCCTGAACTCTGGAACCCCTTTCTTATCCTCTTTCCAGGCGCCTCTCTTCTGACCTAGCAAAAGTTTCTCCTCTTTCCTACATGGTCCAATGGAAGTTTCAAGAAAAGCAATCGTCACTTAGACCTAAAATTGACGTAAGTGAAGGATTATTGATTTTAGTGTAACGTATGGCTAGTAATGTTAAAAGGAAAAAACCACTTCATAATTTAATCTGAGCAGTGACTCCCATAATTAAGGTGGTATCTGTTCTTTTTTGAAAATACACCTTTGTCTCATGATCTCTGCAAAACAGCATCAGTACTCTAGAGCTTGAAGATTAGAGCATTGATGTTTGAGAAGTGACGTTTAAAAATAGCACCATGTGCTACATATGAAAAACATTGGGGGCAAATTTATATGAATGAGTAAAATATTAAAACATATAAACAGACATGTGTATATATCACTGGGTCCAGGAGTAAGCTTTCTGAAAGCAATGAAGCTGTACCTCAGTAGGTGCAGTAATATTATAGAATCAGCAACAAAAATTAATCAACCAAAATTACCTAAAAATCCCTCAAATGTGGAAAAAACTCTCAGGTCCCCAAAACTAGAGAATCAGAATGTCTCTTAAAATGCGATGATTTTGTGCATACTACCTCAAATGGTAATATTTGGGAGGAAATGTATCATGTTTGTATGATAAACTGTACTTGGAAAATATAATTTTACAGTGTTTTTGTCTTTAATGCCATGAAAGAAAATAGGCATATAGCTAACTTTTGGAAATCAACTACACATGTGATGGGACCACATTCTACTGTCTGTAAAAGGGCCAACTTCTACTGCTTTCTCCCACATCCTTTTCTTTTTGTGTTTCTTTTTTTTATGATTTGATTCATTGAAACTTACACTTAAATGTTATGATTGTTAAATCTTTTCCTATTTTTTGCTCAGAGTGCTACAGAAAACAAAATTCAAAGTGCTCTCCTCTACTTAGTCTGTAGTCAAAAGACTAGAATTATACAGTTTCTTTTATGTTTGTGAATAATTGCCTGTCACTGCTCTGTAACCTATTATCTCAGCTTTTTACTTAAGGAGCTAATTAAGTGAAACCTTAAGTGAAGGTTTCTTACCCTTTCCTTTATGTTCCATAAAAAGAAAAAAAAACTCTTTCACACGGACTCAGAAACCTAACAAAAACTATTGTTGTTCAAGGTACCAGACTTCTTACAGTATATCCTTGTGACACAATATTCTCTCCCTGGCACCATTCCAGAGCCAGTACTTATTTTGGTAGGGAGAGGAGGGTAAATGTTGAAGATACAGAATTGAAACCTGTTGGAAAAAAAAGGGTTAGAATCATTCTATCAAAAACGCCATTGAAGAAAAGCTCTTGAAGCATGGGGGAGGGAATGAAGGATAGAATGAATGGAAGATGAAGAGAGACACTAACATTTAGTAAACAATGATTTTGAGAACCAAACTACCATAAATGACACTTGGGAGGAGAAGTTGCTGCCACTGTTAGGAAGGCTGCTGTGGACTTTGTGATGGAATGCCACTGACTCCCACTGTTACCTTTTTTGTTTATTATTAGTGAACACTTTTGAATTCTTACCACTTTGAGACATGGGACTATGTTTAGAATGTCTCCAGATATTCTGATCACAAAACCGGAAGGAAAGGGAGAAGGCAAAAGAAAGGAGAAGGCATTGAGTATGGGATGTGAAAGATGGAGGAAGGCAGCACTATATAAAACCAAGCCTATGAAATGATGTCAAGTTTCCATGCAGGGTTCTTTATATCATCTCACTTAATGAGGCCAAAATAATTAAAATACACAAAAGTGTTATGTGAAAATTCCATAGCTTTCCTGAAGTGTTTTCCCAATTATTCTGTTTTCCCAAATATTCTTAGACCCCTCCTCCCATCAAGTGTTCAAGAAAAACTTCAATACAGTTTTTAAGGTTTTTCACTGGTGTCTGACATCTGACCTACAAGTGTTTGTAAAAGATTTTAAGATTGCACACATGTGAGTGTGTGTGCATGTGTGTATGTTATCGCTTTGAATACTTGACAAGCACATACTTTTTCTTCTCCCTTATTCCTTTTCTCTCTTTTCTGTCTATGCTCCGCTCTTCCCTTTTCCCTCTATCCTGTAAGCTCAGGTTTTGCAAATTGTCAGAGAAGCAATGTAAAACATTCTTGCTTTTTTATCACAGTCATGCTTCATTTTTTATTAAGAGGTAATATCTTTTTATTGTAAAATTCAATAAAGTATATTCCCTTTTCCCAAAGACAGAAAATTCACCCTAGATATTGAAATAAATTAAATTAAAATTTCTAAAGATATGTAATTTCCAGAAAGAAAATAAATATCTTTAAGAAAAGAGGACAATATCTGATCTGTGTACACATTTTCTCAAAGTGACTACTTCCAAAGTAAACCAGTTATTTGGTATATAATTTCTAAGTTATTTGTATGACATTGCATTAGTCACTTGTATTTAAATCAGACACATTCTGCATATTCTTCCCATACTTTAAATTGTTATGTTTTTCTCCATGACATTTTGAGTAGCTGATTGCGACTTGAGTCAGACTTTGTCATTATCACTGTAACAAGTGTTTATTTTTTGTTCCCCCAAAGAAACCGATGGGGTCCTACTTTTTGCTCAGTCTGGCAATTAAATTGGCCATGATAGTTAATAGAATTCATTTAAACTTGTACAGAAACATATTTTCAAGGAGTTAAAACTTAAAGAGTTTTATTATAACTACATTTTTACTTTGCAGAAAAGGGGAAATATTAAATATTCTTCAATTCAGTTACCTCTAAAAATGTATAATTTATTTCAATACTAATTAAAAGATATACTTAGGATCTCTTGTTCATCTTGACTTAAAATTGAAAATCAGTGCCACTTGACTACAGTGATAATTTTAAAACTTAATGGGCTGATTTCTGCCCCAAAATGCTTTTACTGATGCAGTTCTGGTGACACTGCAGAATACTTACACTTTTTGGTACATCTTGGATGATGTGGACTCTGAAAATCCAAGTTACACCCAAGATTTCATTCCTCTGTGATTACTCACCTGGACTACAGACATGCAGGACCTGTCTGAAAGAAACACTGACACCAAGTGGGCCCCACCAGTGACTCATCCCTTTAATGTAGCGAAACTGCAGAGGGAAGAGCAGGGAGGATGTATTGGTTGTTAGGAAAGTCTAGTTTACCGGTGGAAAATGACATCCTCCATGAATAAGATCTAAGGTGCGACTCACATAAATGTCCTAATTTTAAGATTGATGGAGATCATGAAGCATTTCTTTATGTTGACGACAGGTCATCATAAATGCCTCAAGTGTATAGGACTACATATGGTTTTAGAATGTGACTTTATGAAGAAGGTGGAGATCCCAACTTCCTCTACCATGTCTACATATATATATGTCTGAGTGTGCATTTGGGTGCTCTGGACAGTGTCTTGACAGAGAACCTGAGCAGGACAAACCAGCCTTGACCTGAGCGAGCTAACTGGCACCATGAAAATATCAGGTGTCTTTCTGCTCCTTGCTCTGGCTCTTTTCTGCTTTTTCTCAGGTGAGTTTTTTTTTTATTTAAAATTGAAATCCAATATTTATGCTGAACTGGAAATGCCAAGTGTATTTGTCCATCAAGACCAATTCTGAGAGGTTATCCTAATGATGATAATGATTGTGATGATGAAAATGGTAATAGTAATAATGATTTAAAATAATTTTGTGGAGCATATACTATATTCTAGGGATGTAATAAGAGCTTCTAGGCATTATTTTCAAAACACATAGCAAGATACACTTATCTGTAGTCTACATGTAAGAAATCAGGGGCACAAAAAATTTTAAAAATTGCCAAAGGAATCACAACTTGTAAGTAGAATTTGGAATCTGAGCAGGTCTTTTAGACATTGCAGTTTATGCTCATTCCACAAAACTAGTCTGGGGGATGGCTAGTTGTTTTAAGTATTAGCTTGGCTTTCTAAAACAAAGAAAAGCTTTCCTGTCCTCATTATTCTTATACAATAATTGGAATTAAAATGAAAACAAGGGGGGGGGTAAAGGAAACTCAATTAGAGAATCCTTCAGAAAAAAAGGACTACATATGATAAAAGGAGTAGGAAGGATAGCTTCAGAAAAAAAGCTATCCAGTGTTAGAAGACTGCAGTGTATATGCTGCTGAGGAACTCAACAATTCTTCAAGAAGGGGAATGTCTCTGAGCAATGGTCATATGTTCTATCAGTTCAGATTGTTCAAAGGACAAGCATACTGTGATCTGATGTCTTTTGGTTCAGGGCCATGTATCTCTTCCTGTCCTCCTTTATTTTTCCACTCCATGCTGTGGTAGTGGACAAAGCACACACTAAAGGCTCTAGACCCAAGACGTAGGCCCATCTCTTCTGCTTATTGCCATGTCAGATGGAGATATAGCTCAGCTCTCTGAAATGTTCTTTCATTCATTAAGTTCTAGAAATAAGGCTGGGTCTTGGAAACTTCCATGTCTGATCTATCATTTCATTCAAAAGCTGTTGAATTTGGGGACTGTCAGAGATTTTAAATGCCTAAACATGGAAAACCAACAATTTTTCAATGCAATTAGATAGATAGAGAAGTCTTTGTTCACAGGAAACCAGTCATATTTACATGAACAAGCACATTTAGAAATATCAAAAAACTGGATAAAGAATTACTGTAATATTAAGAATAAGTTTGACTACTAAGGCTAAAAACATGAAATGGTGTTTCTGTCTGCTTACTTGAACTTTGCATACTGAAATGCTCTTAGAAATTAATTGATATGCTCTTATTGCTTCCTTTTAGAAAGGTAAACTGATTTGTTAATTGGATCTGGTGGACTAATGCATTTAATTTATCAAAATATGATTCTTCCTAGATAAGTCAGTGTTTGGGAAGGCTAATGTCTAAGAGCTTTAATGTTGACTTTCAGTCCTGACATTTCCATTTTATAGCATGTGACTTTTATGAGTCTTTTATTCATCTATAATAGAGGGGTATAAAAAGAACATTTCAATGTGTGCAATTAAGTGAGAAAATGCATGTAAAGTGCTTTATATAGTGAAACAGATATAGTAAAAGTTCAACACATATCTATTAATATTGACATTTTTTAAGTTTAATAATATGACTGCTATATTGAACTCAGGCCTTGTTGATGTTAATCCTCCCTCTACCTTGATACTTTATACATATAAGACATTGGACAAAATCTCTCCTCTTCTGATAAAAAATTTGTACCATGAAGAAATGCCTGAGAATTGTAATAATGAGTTTTCTTCAGTCATAAAAATCACTTTCAGTGGTTTACAAAAATATAGACTCCCATGCCCTATTTGGTCTATGTAATGGAATGTTCAAGTCATTGTCCTAAGCATCTGTATTTTTAATAACAGTGCTGCAGTAAGGTTAACAGTCGTTGCAGTAGATGGTCGTTGACTTCATTTCAAATTTAAAAGCCTTGTTCCCTCCCTTCTCACCTCCATGAACAGAGAGTGTGCTTTAAGATATTGCCAATTGTCATTCCTCACATGATGACACTTATCCACACACTTTGTCACCAAGTGACAAAGGCTTTTGGCTAAACGTGCTAGGCGTCACTGGCATTGGGAGTGCCACAGAAATGACCAGAATTCACGGCATACCAGAACTGAAATGAAGATTTTATTATTTCAGTATTTGAAACCATTGAGCTAATTAGCCACAACCTAAAAGCACAGACATAACCATAAAGATGGAAGGAGACAGAGAATCAAGACTGTATTTATAGATGGCTTTTCCAATTTAAAGAGATGTAGCAAGAGGAATGAGTCACAGAAGCCAGCATGACTCTGCCCTTGACAGTGTCTATTTGGGCTAAGTCTTTAAAGCTGAGTATATAAGTCAGAAAAGCAATTTTGAGCTCAAAGGACAAACAACAAAGTTAATCTCTTCCTGAACTGCCCGTGACAAAGACAATACACTGAGCCTCAAAATGTCCAAGTTAGAGGTGACTTTCCAGCCCAACTTCTCCAAAAGAAGACTAGAGATGAGGTCATCCCCATTGTGAATTAGTAACTAGGCCAGAACTGTAACATGAATCTCCAGATCCCAAAACAATTTTCTCTCACCCATCCCCCATCCCCTAAGAAATATGACCTCATCCTGGTCTATCTCCTTTCATCACTTCCCAAGTTTCTACTGCTCCCTAAGAAGTGAACAGGCATAAAAAAGTAGAACAACCATGCCCTGCCTTGCTGGGATGACCAGGAACCAGGAACAAGCATCAGTTCAGGCGTGAGGATTTCTTAATTTTGCAAATGCCACCTTTTGTACTTTCAGAAATTACAGTGTTCAGATTTTGTGCCTTTTTTTTCAGGTGTCTTCAGTCAAGGAGAACAGGTCAGTGCATATTTTTATCTATTCTTCAGACCTGGGTGAGGCTTGGCTGGTATTTCCCATGGCCAAACAGAAGTTTGTCTGTGGGTAAAAGAGCAAAAACAACAAAGAAGCAGGCCAAATCCAGAAATCAGTGAAAGTAACTCATTTTTTAACTCTAATTTCTCTATGAGTTAAAAAACCCTAAACATCCATTCTCAGGTTTTGTTGAAGTAAAATAATTATAAATGAAAATAGGATGAATCTATGTTATATTCCTCATACTCAATGTTATATCACTCATACTATATCCCTGCTTTCCCTGGAGGATCTTGGGCAAATTACTCAGGTCTTCTGAGCTGCAATTTCTACAATTATAAAAAAATGAGGGATAACCTTATTCACCTCACAGAATTGAAATTAAATAAACTGTATGGAAGCATTTGGTAAACTGTAAAAGGACTAGTTATTGACTAATAATGAACAACTTTTGAAGGTGTTAGGGCAGAGTTTATCTTCTTTGTAGAAGTGAGAGCACCAAGAGTAGTCACAGAAGTTGCTTACTGCTATGTATTGAGTATATGCAGACTCATTCACACAAATGTAAATACATTTTGGGTAAAACATTGGAAGGGACACAAATTGTCTTCATTGTCTGGTTGATTTTTTTCCAAATTAATCCACCAACTTTTTTCTGGATTGCTTATTCTAACTATCAAAAGACAACATAAACAAGTGGTATTTGCCCAGTCAATCCATTGCATTGAGAGCATTTCTACTTGATCTTGACAATGGCTCTTGTGAGCCTTGGTGTGCCCAAGAACCCCTGACATCAAATTTTCCAGACATACCTGCCAACTATTTGCAGTTGGCAAACTACATTGTCAACCTATTTCAACTCTAGTATACCTACTATATTGTGTAAGACTTTTCTCCTCTCCAATTTCAGAATCTCAGAAATTGAGATATGTTGTACAATGGATTATGCCCTGTAATTAACTTGCAATGTGTGTATGCACCTGTATATATAACACATATGTATTTGTACTTGGATATAAAATTGTTCATCTTAAAATTAATTTACTATTATGTTTAAACATATATGGTAGCACAATCTATGTTAAATATCAAAACAAACAAACAAAGAACCTCAGATCTACCCAGCCCATTTTGTATCCCACCAGGTAGCAAAATATGAGACCATTACATGCAGATTGAAAACATATGGAGTATAATCCCAGTTTTGTCATCAGTCTCTTTCCTTGTTTAGGCTTTGATTTCCAGGATTCGTAATGTTTCCCAGATTTTCAGTGTTTTCTAAAGTTCATTTAAAATCAACTGCTTACTGATTCTGTTCCTGATAGGCCCAAGTTTCAGAGTGGGCTTGCTTTGGGATGACTGGGGAGGCTCACTACACATATAGATCCCCAGTGCTAAACCAGACTTACTAAGTAATAGTCACACAGGTAGGGGGCTTGAATCTGTGTTTTAAATAATTATTCAGTACTGAGGAGTACTGACTTTGCTCGAATATTTTAGGGACAACATACATGAGTTCTAATTCAAACACTTACTGACTGTGTGATCTGAAGAATGTCTCCTTCCCCTATCATTGCCTTTGTTTTCACTTCTCTAAAGTAAACATTTGGATGCAATGATTTCTAAAAACCCCATCTGACTTCAGGTATCTGAATCAGTATGAACCAAGCCTGGGCTTGCCAAGACTACTATCTTTTCCCCACTGAAATAGACAGAGAAGGGAGGGTGCCAACTTTCAAATGGCATCAAGGCTGCCATTTCTTTTTTTTGTAATTTTTTCCATTACCATTTAATCCCCTTATTCCCCTCTACTCCCCCACAATCACCACACTGTTGTCCATGTCCATAAGTCCTCTCCCTTTTTTGCTCTCTACCATTTCTCTTCTGTATGGCTGGAAAGATGGTGGCAGTCCCAATGACAGGCAGAAAAATTGAAACTGACTTCAGGAGCATGCCTGCTCAAGTCTGATACCACTAAAACAATAAGAAGAAACATTCTCTCCAACATTTAAGTCATTTCACTTCTACCAAGAAGTTTCCATGCTGAAGCACCTGATGGTAGGGTTATAGTTAACAGTCTAAAGAATTGTACAAGAATACTTTTAGAAACACTCACTATATTGTTTTTATTTTTCTTATTTTCCTACTAGCCATATCCTTAAAGAGTTTTTTAAATGAATATTACAGGTTAGAATTAACACCAACCCCTCAAAAACAATTATTGGCAACCATTTTCTGTTACAGTAATTTTGGAGGGATATCTATACTTATTTTTGTTTATATTTTAAGATTAAGACACAATGAGTTTTATTACAGTTAGTAAAACAATGCTCCATAAGTCGAGTGTGTCTTGGGCTATTCATCTTTCCTAATTAGTTTGAATTCACCTACTACTAAGATACTGGCAAAATATGTAAATTCAATTTGAAGATGTTAACCAGCATCTACAAGTTAATGACAGGTAGGAAAATTGAGGCATCAGAAAGAGGACCTAAGCTGATTCCAATTTACCAACGTCTTTAATAAATGTATAATCAACACCTCAGGACCCCTGGCTCCTTAAGGAGGGAGCTTCCACGGCCCAGGCCACCTTTTGAGAGCAACAGAAAGCGCCAGTGCAATGCATGTTAATGTGCTTTGGGCAGTACAATCTTCTGAACAAATAAACCATAGTTTTTGCTATGCTCCATTCTTAAACAAAGAAGTAATCATAGTATAATGAAAATAGTAGTTTAAAGTAAGATAACTTGTCTCCACATTTAAGAGGGATTTTGAGACATGGGGGAAAAGAAAGCAGAGAGAATAGGATTTATTACATTGACTCAGCCAGGAACTGTTGAGGGTGGGTATAAATTTGGAATTGGTGAGAGGCACGTGAGACAAAGAAATACACTAAAGGTAAATACACTTGCAAGGGGAAATAAATGGCAATGTTTTAATCTGAGGGCGGGTTGAGAAAACCAAAGAATGGTACTGTTCTGTAAAAAGGGAAAATTAGAAAGTAAAACTAGTTTGGAGGGAAAGATTTAAAGTTATATTTTGAAGATAATTGAGCATTAAATGTAAATTAAATTATTACCCAGAGTTGCCCTGTACATTTCTAACAATAGGAATTAGAGGGTTTTTCTAAAAGATTTTATTTATTTTTAGAGAGAGGGTATGGGAGAGAGAAAGAAAGGGTGAGAAACATAGATGTGAGAGAGAGACTTCGACTGGTTGTCCCTCACACGCCGCACCCTGAGTGAGGGCCAAACCCGCAATCCCGGTTTGTACCCTCACCGAGAATTGAAACACAGGCCTTCTACTTTGAGAGATGACACTCATCAACTGAGCCACACTAGTCAGGGCATAGAGTTTGAAATTTTGATGAAATCGAGAAAAACCATCTAAGACTCATCAGTCAGTACATGCTCTTTGAGACAAAAATAAATATATATATAAAATTTCTTGAAAATGACCATAGTGAACACTCGGGGAGAAAATTAAAAAGATGGAGAAGAAACAGGTGGAGATCCAGAGCACTGACATGTTACAGGAGTCAGGAAAGAATTCCAAGAAGGAGGCAGGGTGTTCAACCCATGGCCCACGGGCCACATGCAGCCCAGGACGGCTGCGAATGCAGCCCAACTCAAAATCGTAAATTTACTTCAAACATTATGATGGGTTTTATTTGTGATTACGTGTTGCAATGTGTTTAATGTGTGGCTCAAGACAACTCTTCTGCTTCCAATGTGGCCCAGAGATGATAAAAGGTTGGACACCCCTGGATATTATAAGAAAATCATTAACATTTAATAAATAGCCAGTGGGTGTATCCTGAGACATTTTTAGAGCCATCTTTGGTAGTGTGAAAGGGCATAAAAACAGGGAGAATAGAAGCAAATTAAGGAGGGTTTTAGAAAACTGATGTGATTTAAAAAGGAGCTGATGCAACCACATGGGTGGTAGCAAAGGGAAGAAGAGGCAAAGTCCTACACCCTAAGGGAGTTTGTGTTTGCAAATTTTCATTGGCTTTATTTGTAGAATGAAATTGCCAGACTAAAATATTAATGATCCTGAATTCTTGGGTTAATTTTTGTGATCATATAAGCTCGTTTCCCAGTAAAATTCAACTTGTTACTGGGTGATTAATCTGGGCACTAACAGTATCCCCAGATTCCAGAATGTTTTTGAAGGTACAGTTCTTTGAAGAACCACAGGGGGTCAGACTGATACTAGACATTGGCACCCAAGTACCTAGATGCAGTCTCAGGAAGCTGGACAATATAAGAAAAGCAGTGCAGGCTCTTGTTAAAGCCAACACCATCTAAAAAAAACACTCAAACAAAAACAAAAAGAAACAGCCCTCACTGAATAGGGTAAGAAATAATGGGCTCCAAATGCTGGAACATGAAACAATTTATGTTGTTGGAGTTTATAATAGCAATCCTACACACATACCTGAAACTTTACAAAGCATTTTCAAAGGATTTGTCATTAAAACAACCCTAGAAGACAGGCATTGCCAGGCCCCAGTGAAATAAGAAGAAATTCAAATCAGAGCAGTTAAGTGTTTGCATAAGGTAATGCAGCTAGTGAATGGAAGAAGCAAAATTCAAACCCAGGTCAGCCAGGGGTGTCAAACTCATTTTCACTGGGGCCCACATCGGCCTCACGGCTGCCTGTAAAGGGCCAGATGTAATTTTAGGACTGTATTAATGTCTAGGGGCCAGGAGCTCGGTGTTGCTGCTGGGTAGAAACAAGGTGCTGGGCTGGATAAAACAAGGTGGAGGGCCAGATTCAGCCCGCAAGGCCTTGTTTTTGCTGCCTGTGGACAATCTCCTAATATAAAGCATTACAGCATTTTAAATAGATCCAAGGGATTCAGCTCTCCTGGGTCTCATGGAGGAAATTTTGAAGAAGAAGGATAGCCCTATCTCCCTTAGTCTAGACTTGCTTTTTGATGTACACTTAGGAACTGGTGGTTGGGATTTTATCTAAAGGACACCAAAATAAGAATAAAAAACAGGAAAGGAAATTTGGGCAGAGAAAAGGAATGACATTCTTAGACTACTTCTCCTTAAACTGTAAGAGCTATGCTCTATTACTGGTCCAACTGGATATTCTGATATTCTCCTGTCTTGCTGTTTGCTGCACAGAAAGGATTGCTGGTTGGCTCTGCATAGTCATTCTTCACCTTTACCAACCTCTGGGGCTCCCAGTATGTAACCCCTTTTTGTCCCCAGCCACCATGTTTAAATTTCTCACACAGTGAGTGAATAGGGGTCCCTAGTTATAAAAGAAAGAAGCATTTGACCAACAGATGTTCCTTCTTACACCCACTTGAGGAACTATGGACTTAGCTTTATTTTAGCCACTTTACAGAAAAAAGTCACTATTAAATATTACATTAGCAAAGCTAGAAGAGTCATTAGAGACCACCTTATCTAATGGTACTGAACGTTTTTATGAGACTCCTTCCAAAATGTGGTAAGAGCTACAGTTGGAACAGGCCTATAGTAAAAGCTTATTTTCCGCATGCCTAGTCCAAGACTATTTCAAACATTTTATACTGGCTTTCTACAACTCTTGTATGGTTACATCTGATCCTTATAACAATCCTGGGATTGAAGCATGACAGCTGTCTAAACAACTCTTTGGCTAAGCAAATGAGGTACAGACAGTGAGTGATTTGTCTGAAATGACACAACCAGCCAATGGGTTACAGTAGGACAAGTTCTGAAATGTGGTTCTCCAGCCACTTCAGGGATCTCTGAAAGACAGGACAGTTTAGAAATATGAAATGTATCTATGTGCCAAGGAAGTTTGTTCATATACCATTTGAATGATTTGGTTTTATTTATGGGAATCCTTAGCCCTTCTTAGTCTCATACCTAGGGGGCAGTGGAAGGGGAAAAGTGGGTTTGGAGATGGGGGTGGAGTCTAGAAGTCCTCAAAGTCAACATGTCCCCATGTGCCACTTCCATATCTGCTTTCTAAAGGACAAAAGAGCCGGGATCACAAGATCAGAGGGTCGATTGCGAGGGAGAGGTGGCTTAAGATGGCGTCTCTTTCAAGTAAGAGACATTTTTTATTTTATTTTCCTCACTGACCTGTCTGTAGAGAGACACGTATCCCTGACTTAGATGCCCCTTTTCTCAGCTTCCACACTGCCTGTGTTTGGCCCACTGTAGCATCTACCACACACTGTGCTGTAATTATCTGTGTTCTTTTCTGCTTTCCTAACATGAATAAGATGGAAACTTACGGAGACAATGTTTATAACTGATTCTTTTTTGTATAGCCAGCACCCAGAACCATCTCTTCTAAATATTAGTTATTTATTTGGCTGTTGGTGGAATGAATAAAAATATCAATGATTACAGTCTGTTCTTGACTCAAGCACACAATTGCAAATGTGTACATTCATGACAAATACAAAATACATTAGCTTTTGAGAAAAAAGTGTCCTATAATTAATCATGCTGTAAAGATTTTCCAGCCTGGTTTCTATTTGGGGACCTGAAGGAAAGGTTACAATCCTAGAAGTAGTATGAAAGGATGGAGTTATTTTTAAGAGAACTGGAGGGAAAAAAGTAGGACTATAAAAAACCTAGGTATCTTCTATACAACCAAGCCCTAAGAAGATCTCTGGTAAGCAACATACCACCCAGCCTCAATAGTATGAGATGTGAAATTTTAACAAAAATGTGTGTTAATAGTCTCAGTTTGACATATTTTATAATATTTTGACATATGTCAAATATTATATTTTTGACATGAGTCTAAGTTTGACATATGTTATAATATTTTGTAACTCAGTGGTATGACTCTTCTGATGAGCTTTTCCCTATGCAAACCTTTGGAGAACTTTGTCTGTATATAATGGTTTGCTAGCATCTTAAAGATATGATTCCTCTTACCAATGCCCACACATTTTCATGACAAGGTATTTTAATAAAGCTTACATGCCTTGACTCTAAGTGTGGTCAAAGGTACATTATGACAGTTGGCCTTCATCTCTCTCAATGAGGATGTGTTGAAAATCAACCATAGTAGGTTGCTGGAAATTGTGGATCAGCAATCAGAAGGAGTATGGCCAAACACTGGTTTGAATGCTCCCTGGTTGGGTGGCATCGGGAAACTAGTTAGTTATCCCGAAGATCAATATTCATGTCTGTAAACTGATTAATATAATATTGCTCCCTGTGCCTCTCAAGGTTATTGTGAGACTCAACTGAGTAACTCTATGTGGTTTGACTATTATAAAGCAATAGATAAACATAAGGCAGTATTATTTTAAAGGAACTAGGAAAGAAGTAAGTATGGTCCCTCTCTTCACTTAAATATCACTTAATTTCCCACATTTGGAAAAGTTTGGTTCTACCTATTGTGTATTGCCTATACCCTGTAATAACATGGTGTGCATATCACTTGCACACTAAAAATTGACTCATCTGACATTGAATCAAAAAGAATTTTAAAACTCCAGGCTGCTCCCAAAAGATCACTGTAACTGAGGGCATGTATTAGCGGCATAGGCGCTACCACTGTTCCTTCTAAAGAACCCATGACCTTCATTATTAGCCATCATAGCACGTGTTCTCACCAAGGCTGGATGTAGCCTCAGAATCCTAAATGGAGCAACTTGGGCACCAAAGTTTAAATACTACAAACAGACTCTGAGACAGAGCAAGCTAATATAAAGACATTAAAATTTTTGTTTTCAGGAGAATAAATGGATGTAGCCACCATGGGGAAAATTAACAAGCCATCACATAACATTTGGAAGCTCCTTGCAATAGTCACCCACATCTTTATAACAATATAGAAGTAGAGTTATTAGAGTTACATTAATACAGTGAAAAAAAACAAATCTCACTAAAGACCAAAAACTAGTCTCCAGTGGAACAATCTAGGGTTGGAGCACAAAGTCATACCTGTGGCATTTGCCTTACTCCTTACAGTCATAAGGAGTAAGTAACTGCCTTACATCATTAACTTATTCCTGAATACAATAATTACAGAAACATGTATCTTGTGTCTCAAATAAAAAAGTCTCAGTTATGTTTAATACATTCCAGATGAGCAGACAAAGAAGGCTGTTTTCTATTTCAGGAAGCTTTACCTCATATACATGCATATAATTTCTATAAATACATAAACAAATAAATATGTGTTAAAAATATATATTTGTGCATACCTTTATATAAATGTTTATATATTTACATATACCTTTATATTTATAAATATTTACATAGATTTATGTAACTATCTAAATATTTATAAATATTTGTATATGTTTGTATACTTAATATTTAGATATATTTATGTACACCTTTATATAAACAAATCTATATATATATATATATACCTCCACATAAATAAATATTTTCTATAACTATATAAATAAATGTCTATGTATTTATATATAACTTCATATGAATGTATATTATGCATAACTTCATATACATAAGTGTATATGTATATATACATAAATAATCGTAACTTTGCTGTCTGAAGCTTCTGCTCTGTTGAAGAGTGCCTGGGGCGGACTGCACTAATGCCCACATCACTGTGCTCCCCTTGGTAGATTGACTGTGGTGAGTTCCAGGATGCCCAGGTCTTCTGCACTCGGGAATCAAATCCCTACTGTGGCTCTGATGGCCAGACGTATGGCAATAAATGTGCCTTTTGTAAGGCAATGGTGTAAGTATCACACTCACCAACCCATCCCTTGGAAAAACAAACTTCCAGAATAAGAGAATGACACTTTCTTCGAGATAGTCTAGAAGATTCTATTCATACCCACCCATAGATACTAAAGAAATAAGTTTCGGGCAAAGAGACTGAAAATAAATGGGTCAAAAACAAATAAAAATTAGCATAATAAATTATTTGAAAGCATAATCTCCATTACTTTGTGATTATTAAATGTGACTTATCTTAAGGACATTTTAAAAAATTATACATCTTTAAGAATTTTATACATTTTATTATTTTTTCACTTCTAACTGAAAGTTTTTGTAATTTTATCCAGTTATGTTTTGTAATTATTATTATTATTAATTTTAGAGATTAAGTTAGAAAATTCACCAAAATCAGAAACATGAAAATCTCATGAGAAAATTTATTTCCAACAAAAGCAATTACTTTGTCTACATTATTTTCAAACATTTTATTTTATACCAAATTCTATGTTGCTAAGGCAGCAGTTTTCATTCATTTCTCTCTTTTGAACTAATGAAAACAGCCTTTCAACAAAGAACAGAGGAGAGGATCATCCTTTATTATTCAGAGTACTCAAACTTTACAGACAGTGTGCTGGGGAGATTCTACCAAGGGCCAGTATTTAATGAATTTATGTGTTAATAAGGAACAGAACAGGTGCTCTAGATTTTAGCCAACAGACTGTGAGCTTCCAGATTGGACACACTTTATAATTAATAAAAACCTATTCAAACAAGCAATCTCCTCGTCTGATTACTCTAAACTCTAGGAAATTATAACCCTCTTTAAAAGTAACCTCACTTCCTTACCATTGTCATCCTTTTCCTATATCAGAGTTTCTTTTTTTAATTTTTAATTATTTTTTTATTTAGTTATTTTTCAAGTACAGTTTTTTGTCTATTTCTCCCATCCCAGCCCCCTCTGTCCTGTGCTCCCCACTTCCCTCTCATCTCCACCCCCCAGCTCTCGTCCTTGTGTCCTTCATATTTGTTCCTCCAAATCCCTCTCCTCTTTCCCCCTTAAATTCCCTTCCCTCTCCCCTCTGGTCACTGTCCCCTTGTTCTCTATTTCAGTCCTGTATCAGAGTTTCTTCTATGAATGTCTTAGTTTCTTTCAACTTTGCTGTAAAATTTCTAAGCACAGGGATTATATAACTCTTTATCAATAATAACAGAGTTAAGCACACAGAACTAAATGAATAAATATTGAATCAATATAGTTCCTATTTCTGCATTTATATATAGCATATCTGGTTAATTAACACCAAACTTTTCTCAGGATAAGGGCCATGCGGTAAGTTGAGATATGGTATGATGAACACTCATTACTAAGAAGACTTAAATATATGGTCTGCCATAAAATACCAGATGCCTGAGTATTTGGTTTAACTTCTTACATCTTCTATTAGACCAGAATTGTGACACTATAGTCTCTTTGCCATTATTACTTGTGTCACTTTTGCCTTTTTCAGTTGTATATAAATTTACTCCCAGAGAAACAATCATTGAAACCAAAAGGTCTACAACTTATTAAATTAGTTTATTTAAGATTCATGCTTTCTGTCATCAGGACAAATGTCACCTCTGAATGAATTTAATTAACGTCTGCCAGATTGCTGACATGGTTACCTGTACATGATTCCACTGATGGCATAGATGATGACATAGTTAGACCCTTATCCACCCTCTGCAATGAACACAAATGATATTGCACTGAGCATGGTCTTGTCTTTTTCTTTTATAGGAAAAGTGGTGGGAAGATCAACCTAAAGCATCATGGAAAATGCTGAATGAGAGCCAGGGTTTTGTGCTGGCTTCTCAGCTCTCTCATCCTTCCTTCCTTGCTTCTGCTTTTATTTTTCTCTAGCAGATCTCTTAAATTTACAAAAACATACCTTCTCCTTTACCTGGGTCATGGGGAGTTCAATATATATCTATTCCCTTGATTTGCTTAACAATAAAATAAATTCTGCAGAAGCCTGGCCTGTGTTTTTACTTTGAGATCAAGAAAACATACAGATACAATATGGGGTCATTGACCCCACATAAACCCGGGTAAACAGACCTATTTTTCTGATCCAAATGAACCCTGAAGTCACTGTGGGATCTTGGGAAAATTCCCTCCCATCTCTATTCTTGGAACTTCCATGTGGCTAATGAAGAATTATTTTATAATAATATCTATTATTTAAGGCTTAGGTGAGGTAATATTGATTCTCCTCAATTTGGGGGACAATATTTTATATAAAATAAAACATTGATCTTCTTTGGACCATAGTTTTTCATCTCTATGGTGGATTTAGACTATATACTATGTGAACACATACATTATTTGTTTTCCCAGCAATATCATAGAGTCTAGCAGACAGAAAGAAGTGAATAAATATTCAATAAATAGTGACTATCCAGTCAATAGTGAATGGAGGCAAAGTCTATAAAAGCGTGTATATTTAAAGAAAACAGTCCATTGATCTTAATCATGGAATGAGAGAAATGGATAAAACGTAAGGAATCATAAGTCCCAGAGAAAGTTTAATTAGTATGGCCAAACAAAAATGCTCCAGATGGTAGAATAATCAAGGTCTCAACACAGCTCTTTCAATGACCCACTCAGTCTCCATGTAGCTGGCTCAGTCTTTTGAAGACAATCAAGATACATAAATGCCTTATTCTGAGTAATCCAGATGGAAGTCTGGAGAGAAATCTCCCTTTGAGCACTTTCTTAGTGCGGAGCATGTATTTACAAATAACATGTTCCAGGGTGAACTCACGCACGACATCCCTAGGTGCATTCACCAGGTAATAACTATCAACAAACATTGGCAGAGCACCTACTCTATGGCAGGCTCTGTTCCTAGGCACTTGGATACAGTTACGGTTAGGGATGGAAAGAACTAAAAATCCTGATCTTAATAGAATTTACATACTAGCAGGGAAAAATACACAAAAACAATAAGCAAGTACATGACATAGTAATGTTTGGGAAGATGATGGCCAATTGCAGTACAAAGTCATGTAGTTAGAAGAGGTTTTATTGGGAAGACATGGAAATAAAGGAGTTAGCCAAGCTAATATTCTAGGGAAGAGCAAAAAGTAAAGCTAGAATATAGTCCTTCAATCTGGGGCATTTCTCTTTGTTCAAGGTTCAGCAGGGAAGCAATGTGACTGAAGATGTGCAAGTGAGTGGGCAAGTAATGGGTGACAGGTTCAGAGAAAAAATTAATGCAAACCATGAAAGGCTTTGTAGTCACTAGTAAAATTTTTGCTTCTATTCTGATGAAAAAATGTGTTAATTATAAATATTAAAATCTTACATCTGCTTTTAAAAATCTATCTTCTGCTTTGAATATACCATATGGTCTTACCCCCAAGAGGAACCTAATAAACAAAACAAACAAATGAGCAAAATAGAACCAGAGGCGAGGAACAGACTGACAGTGACCAGAGGGAATGGGGAAATAGGATAAGGAGGGAAATCAGAGGAAGGGTCTAGTCAAGGAACAGGTACAAATGACCCAGGGACATAGACAACATGGTGGAGATTAACTGTGGGAGTTGGGAGTGGGCAAGGCAGGAGAGAGCAATGGGGGTAAATTGGGACAACTATAATAAAACAGCAATAAAAATCTATCTGCTTCAAAAATGTTTATATTCTGTTTATCTTACATTTAAAAAATTTTCTCATCAAGTGCTTTTTCTGTCCCTTTTACTGTAATCCCCCTTTATCTTCAGGGGATGTATTTCAAGACTACCCCCAACAGATGCCTAAAACCACAAAGAGTATACTATATATATTATATATACACCTATACAAAGGTACCTATACAAAGATACCTATGATAAAGTTAAAATTACTTTCACACTTTGGGGCCATTAGGAAGTAAACTAAGGGCTGCTTGTACAACAAGCACTGAGGTACCCCAGTAGTTGATCTGATGAGTGAGATGGCTCCTAAGTGACTAGTGGGTGGGGAGCATATACAGTGTCCCCACCCATTAGCGTACGAAGGGATGATTCACAAACCAGGTGGGAGGAAATAGGACAGCATGAGATTTCATCACACTACTCAGAAGAGTGAGGAATTTAAAACTTAGGAATTATTTATTTCTGAAATTTTCCATTTAATATTTTTGGGCTACAATAACTGACACTATGAAAAAGCAAAATTGTGAATAAAGGGGGATGACTGCATATGAAATTTCCTGCTTACTTGAGAAATTAAACCCTTTTCTCCTTTTTAGTTTCTACCTATGAAGTAATTTAGCTACCACTAACACAAACATGTGGAGAACAGCATGTAGTTGGATAAGTGAGCCATCCCCAATCTTTAAAAGCATTGCCCCTCTTTCCCTTCCTCTCTTTGGTGGGAACCATCGCCTCCAGCCAGGCCAGGTTCTTGTGGGCTGTCCACACAAAAAGTGCATTTCTATCACTCTGCCCTAGGCTGCCTGTAATGCCTCTGGGCCACCCACAGCCACTCTGCCTGTCCTTTATCTTCTACAAAACTCTCACCCACATTCTAAGATGACCATTTATTCTGTGGCTCATGTCAGGTGTTCTCACTGAGAAAATGATCAAAATACTATCTCATCTAGTTCTGAGCTATTCTGTGGGAATGAAAGGGAAGCTTATGAATGATAAACCACAGAAGACCAGAAATGTTGTATTTGTTATAAAAAAGAGGCAAGTCATATATAAAAAATCAACAGTCAAAATACAGACATTTTGGCTCAGACATACACACATTTGTCAAATCTCAGTGAAAACACACTTAAGATTTATGGGTATCATAGTTTGCAAACTTTCCATCAAAAGGAAAGAATGTAAACATATAAATATAGTCTTAAATATAATATACATAGTGAAGTTTTTTGAGAAAGGGGTACTTGTTGGGGACCACTCTGCCTGGTTTCAGGAATTGTAACTAACCCCCATGGCTAAGGATGAGCAAGTGACCTCTGGAATGTGAGCCACAAGAGACAAAAGCTTGTCTCTAGTAGCAAACACTGCCTCAGTTTCCTCTCCCTGCCCCCAAAGCTTGGTTGGAAGTCAGAGACGGGTAAGGCTTCTCACAGTGGGGGGCAACCTAAGCCAGACTTGATCACTTGGGAGGTCTTCATGGAAGGACTCAGGGGACTGCAACAAAGAACGAGCAATAGACCCTTGTCCCCCGGCAATGTGACATAGCCCAAGTCCCCATGTCCTCCGGGAGAAGTGCTTCCTGGCTCTAATTCACTTAAGCCTGAAAACCTGATGGAGAGGGGTGCAGCTCCTTGACTTGCTAGAGTAGATCCAGGGAAATCTGATATAAGAAAGAATTTCTAAAAATCTTGTGAAACCTGCTTTGCTAAGAGTGCTTTCATTCATATGTTAAGAGTCCGAGCAGGAAACAAATATGTCTCCCTAAAGTTTCTGCAAAACCCCCTTCCTGACAGACTCTGAGTCAGACTAAGCCCTCAGATTTCTTTGAAATGTTATCTACTCTTTGATCCTTGCCGCCCTGTATTCCTGTGTCTTAGAACCCAATAAAACTCCCTGGAGGAAGGGACTCCTGGCCTTTTTCCTCTGAGAAACTGGCCACCTCTCCTCCCAAAGCAGATCATGTCTTGGTAGTGCTTACTTTCATCTGTGGCAGATAGAGGGACTTGAGGGCAAAGTCGCCCCCGCAGGTACTGATATCTGCAATTTACTTTAACTTTCATCAAAGATGGACTAATAGATACATGGATAGATATGTTAAAAAATAAATATGGTAAAACTAATGGTATAATGTAGGTGGTGAATTTATAGGGGTTCACTATAAAATTATTTTAGCATTGCTGGATGTTTAACATTTTTCATTAAAATTTTTTTACAATTAATAAAACACAGACTCAACAAACAGGAGCAAATATTCAGAATTTCATTTCTGTTTCTCATTACTGTAAAATTCAGGAAAGAACACACTGTCTTAAGTACAGTTTGTACTCTTCTCTTCAAAGCAAAAAAAAAGTATTTGACCTGAACACCCATATCTATCAGTATGCCTTCAGATAACAATAGGAACATTGTCAAGATGGCATCATACCAAACTTATAACCAGTAACTATCTCCATGTGTTTTTCTTTCCATGCCAACTGTTGCTAAGCTACATCTTTCTCAGCTATTCTTTTCTTTTTTTACAGCTAGATTCATTGCACAAATGACATGGTGTGTCAATGATTAGGGAGTGAAGGGGGCTCATCTGCAGGCTTTTGTGAAGGTTTCTTGAGATGGCATATACAGACATATGTACCACACAAACACACTATAAAATGACAAGGGGAACAACAGGGAAAAAAAGGCCAGAGAAAATAGTAACTAAGATAAAAACAGAAATGAGTCACCACAAATAAGTTTAGCCAATGTATTTACTGAGGACTTCATGTGTTTCTTGCGATAAGCATGTAAACATGATCACATTTAAATAGAGCAATAGCAGTGAAGTTGTAGCCCCATTTCATAAAAGAGGAGCCTGAGGTAGGGAGATGTAAATGATCTGTCCACGATTTTATAGCCAGTAAGCTGCATACTGGGTTTACTCAAGAGGGTTACATCAATTCCAAAGTTCTAAACTTTCTATCACATAATCATAGTAATTTGAATAATTTGGATATGTGTTGCATTGGAAAGATTAATCCTATATAACTAGATACATCAGAAATAGAAGTATTCATAATTCAACAATACTTGGGCAAATATACAAAAAAGGTGACATGTATCCATCATAATTGTTAACATGTCAACAATTATGTTAATTTTGTGATGGGGCAACAGCTT